AACAATCATAGCTGCTGAACGTGGTTTCATCAATGTGAAACATCCAATGATGGAGGAACTTGCACAGCGGGCTTTCATAAAAGTATTTGGATCGGATCCAGAAAAGAAAGACCAGCAGCAAACATACTGCAGTCCAGATGGAAAAGATAGAGGGGAAAATAATAAAAAGGGTATTTTTGAAGCTCTGCTGAGTAATGGAGAAAGAAAGAATATGGAGGATGTGCCGTCAACGATTATGTTGGGCAACAACATGTCGTTACACGAACGGCACATTAACGATGCTATCCGAGAGATGGTGGAGGGATACTTCACGATTGTTAAGGGCACTGTCGCTGACCAGGTTCCCAAAGCCATTACATTGCTTATGATTACAAAACTACGGGAGGAAGTGTACGCAAGACTCGTGAAACAACTGTATACCGATCAGAACATTCACGATTTGCTTGCAGAGTCTCCTGAAGTGGCAACGCAGCGTAAAGCCACGACAACGATGATGGAGGCATTGAAAAAGGCACAGGCTGCGTTGGAGAACGTGCGTGGCTTCACTCTTCTTACAAAGTAGTTGAGAAGAACTGGGAGATGTAAAGAGTCGGTCTGTGTGTCGCACCGGTTTAGAGAAGACACCGTGAAATAGGAGTGGCCTTCATATGAGTGAGGTGCATCTTGAGAAAAGAAAAGAATAACATAAATATGTATACATATACGCGTGTGTATGAATGACAGAGTACGGGAAAAGGGTTCACGAAGAAATAACGAAACAAACAAGGGAAAACGTCATGTAGAGGTGGCCTGTCTTCATTGACGTAGTTATCGCCTTTGATGGTTAATTGGCAATACATTTGCTTTCTAATTTATTTTGCTCCCAGAAATGGTTTCTCTTTGCTTTTGGTATCTTGAAACCACTAATCACCTTGCATTTTTTTTTTTTTTTTTTACTTCATTTCCCACGGGTAACGAAATAAGGGAATGCTTTTTATTTGTGATTTTTGTTGCTATCAGAGACTATCCTCTTTGTTTTTGGTATCCAGAAACCACTGATCGCTTTCCAGTATTGTACTATGCTCTATTTCCGACAGATAAAGTGAAAGGAAATACTTTTTTTTTTTTTTTGAATGCACCTTCTCTTGATTGATAATGTGGACGCGAGTGTTTGAGCGACAAAAATATAAGGGCGAAAATGAATGATAAGACGATAGTTAAAACAGGGAAGAAATAAGTGAATGTCATGCGAATATAAGATTGCGTTGAAGGGAAGAAAAAAGAAATGAATGCAGATCTCGGGGAAAAACGTGAACGGTTGTTGAGATGAGTAAAGAATATATAGGAAAAACAAGTGTTTTCCACCTTTTATGTGTGGTAATTGTGTCGCTTCTGCTTTCATTGCACCTTTCTTAGGGATAGCAATGGATATGTGTCTCTTACCCTATATATTCTCTTTTTTTCTGCGTTTGTGTTTGGGACGGTTTTTTTTTTTTTTCTTTTGGTTGTTTTTCGATTCTAGAATGTAGGTGATTATGTATGATGTGGAGTATACTCTTTAATTGTTTGTTAATCTGCTTTTTTTTCTGTTTCTGCTGTTTTTTTTTTGTACTAATGCTCCTTTATTTGTTCAACGCTTTCACACACACACACACACACACACACACACACACAACCACCACATCCGTAACAATATAATAGTCCTGTTTACCCGCACTTTGATTAGATCTAAATAACGGCATGTGGGGCTTTCTTCTTTCCCTTCTTCTCTGCACGGTGTGGCCGGCCGTGGCGGTGGAGTACTGCGCCGAGCACCATCGCGAGTACCGCACGGCGCCGGGCGAGTCGTCTTTTCATTCCGTCAGCTCCGCAGCGGGCGGCTGTGCGAATGGCGCGCCCGCATCGCTGGCGGTCCTGCAGCCGCCGCCGGCCCCGCACCTCCTGCTGCTCACCGGCGGGTGGAATTATCTCTTCGGCGCCGTGGCGGAGGGAACACTGCCGGAGACAGTCAACTTCACTCTCGCAGCGCAATGCGGCGGGGCAGAGGTGTGCCACGCCGAAGTACAATATGTGATTGATACAAGTAATGAAGGGGATTCATCATTTACAACAACAACAACAACAACGACAACATCGACAGCGGCGCCGATGTACCCTCCGTGTGCGGTATCTATGGAAGAGTATCAGCTAAAGTTGTCCCCTGGTAAATCTACACTTGGAACTCTCCCCACAACTGCCGTGCAAGTTGCGTGCCCTGATGGTTTCAAGGCTTCCATAACACAACCTAATGTTGGAGTGGCTGCGTTACTTGATCCAAATGGCATGCAATTTGTGTACTCTTCACCTAGTGAAGATTTTGAAGGGAATGTGACACTTCCTTATCAAGTATCCTGCAATCGACAAGTGTTGTGTGCTGGTGCCATGCAAATATGGATTCATGAAGATGCTGCCCCATGTTCAGAAAGCAAAATATTGTATGATGTGAAACCTGCTTCAGTGTTTAACGCAACACTCAATACTCGTACATCCTGTAATGGCGTTTTAACAGGACGTGTTCGTTCTCAAACTGTCATGAATGCTTTTCAGTTTTACGATGGTGTTTCATTTACATTTAATGCACCAGAAAATGAAGGAGATGTTATTGTGGATGCTCGCTTATACTGTGATGAAGAGAGTTTGTGTGATGTCACAATAGGATTTATTATTACAAACGAACTTCGTCCTTCTTCAACGAAAGCGCCAACTCCTGAAACTACCCAAAGTCCGACTACCACTCCTGTTGTGATGTGTAATAAGGAATTTAATTATACTGTACCAACAGGAAAGCAATTACGAGGTTCTTTGTATGTAGAATTACAAAATTGTAGTGTCATAACGTACAATTTATCTTCTTTAGATTATGCCAAAAGATTTCAAATTAATCTTATTGGTGATTTTCACTATTTTGCCCCAGAGGAAGAAAGTATAGATGTTATACCTGTTGATGTTATGTGCAAAACTGAATTTCGATGTCGTACCCAAGTCACTATTACATCTTACATCGATGTTGCAAGCACTGAGTCTCCTACCACTCCATCAGTAACACCTGAACCTATTCCATCTTGTGCCAATGTCTATTATTATCAAACAGCACCTGGTGTAGCTATCAGTAACTCTCTAAATGGTATGCCAGGACAAGATCCATGTGTGTATGGTCGTTATTTTTCTCTTATTGATGGACCTAAAGAAGGTAATTTGGATATGACCCCTATTGGTGACTTTCTATATCGTCCAGGGAGATTAGAAGGATCCTACAGTTTCTCTTTTAACATGTATTGTCTTAACAAGTTGTACTGTAAAGGTAACGCATACATAATTGTAAGTAACGAATGGACATTACCTCCTAATGGAAATGAACATGGATCTTCCTCTACAGAGCCTCCGACAGCTGAAATAACGAATCCGCAGATTAAGTGCCGTGGAACGTGTAATGAAAAAGCATGGAAGACGTATCCTAAACCAGCTATGTGGGATAATACTCCTGGGGCTGGTTATGCTAGACGTGATGGTCAGGCTGTTGATGGTCTTCAAGTGGTTTGGTCAAATAACTCTATTATAATTACTGTTTACACTATTATTGGAAATCTTGGTGTAAGGTTTCCAACTTTTGAACCTTTTGATCGTATGGTGGGTAAATATTTTGAACCAAAGGATTTTGAAGGTGTAGTAGCAGCAGATTCCTTGGGGTTTGAATTAAGTTGTTTACAACATCAAGGTACTATCGGCATGGGTGAAGATGTTTGGCATTGGAAAACGCTTGGAAATGGAACTGGAACCGGATCTGTAGGTTCTTTATATAACAAGGGAAAATCGTGGTATCAGAAATTTGGTGGAAAACATATTGGATGTGATACTTTTGTTGACTCTTGTCATTATGCCCCATTACTTACTCCTGCTACACCAAAAGGAACTGTTGCTGGTCGTTGGGAAATTGATATTGATGACTGTGATGCCACTTGGACAGGAACATTTCCTTATGCCTTATTAGAAGATCTTCGTAAATCTGATGGTAGTCCGGTATGGTATTTTGTTGGAGACAGACAGATTAAAGGTACAGTTATATCTCAAGGGGTTCGTGCAAACTCATGGATTGAACCTGCGCGTAGCTTTGATAGTCATTATGAAGCACATGATATTATATTTAATCTTCAACAATTTATTGTTGTAAATAAAGTAACACCAGCACCTTTTTCTATTGATTCAGAGTTTTTTGAATATACAGAAAATGGAGATCGAGCTTTTGGAGTTAATCTTTTATTACACCCTTATGTTACAGATGATATGGAAACAAGTTATGCAGAAGATCGTCACGTTATTGGATTTAAGTGGATTACACAAGATTGGATAGCACCAAGTTTTGAACAATGCCCCACGTGTAAAGGAAATAAAACAGTTTGTAGAGCTGAAGGAAAATATGCTACATCAACATATACAGGTGAATTCCCATCTGGTGATTGTCCAACAGGTACAGCTCGTGTTGAACTACGAAAAGGTCCTGCTATGAATACAACATGTCCACCTAATAAAATGCATGTATACAATCGTTCAGGTTTTTCAACACCCTCTCGATGTGCAACATCATTTCAAAATATTACTATTCGTGGTGTAGTTATTGGTAGTAATGCTCTTTCTAATGCACTTCAACGAGCTTTTAATTATGAAGGACGTGTCGTATTACAATTACTAATGACAGATGGTACCAAACACGATGTGGTAATGGATCTTTCTATGTATGTTACTCGTTTATCCCAAGATTCGTATGCTGCTGAAGGTGGATTGGGTGTTTGTCGAGGTTCAGACTATTGGCCTGTGTTGGATCCTCTCGGTACTTCACTTCCAGATTCTCCATTTGAGTTCAGTACAGCCACTCGTGGTCCTCTCTGCATGGATTCACTTAGTTCTACCTTTGGACCAAGTGGATGGGCTACCGTATTCTTACAACTCCCTAGTGTGAATACATCACAGGTGAATGTACATTCTATTTCCTTACGCTATAATGAAACCACTGTGTATTTGTTTTATCAAGATCCCGTTACTGGAGTTCCAGTGGTCCCACCAAGAACTTTGGGTTATTGGTGGATGTACACACATCCTTTTCTCAATTACAGAGATTTGAAAAATAGAGTTGTAAATAGCACAATATCAACTGGTCCAGCAGTAAATCCAGAAGAAGTATCGAATGTACCATTTGCTTTCGCCTTTATTCCTGGTGCTATTAATGTAGCTACAAATGTAGAAGTTATTGTAAAGGCTACTATTACAACAGGGATTGTCAGTACAAGTACATTTTGTCGAATGATGCATGTAGATCCAATGCTAACACAACGTAGTCGTTATGGACCACCAGATCGAAGTGGTACACATAAACCCGGTTCAGATGAGAAGAGTGTATTGGGAATAGGAGTTATCGCAGGTTTATCCGTTGCTCTCACCATCACTGTTGTAGTATATATGACGATGGATAACAATAGACCATTACCAAAATGGGTACCTCGAGGGAAACTTATAAAGAATACAGTACTCGCTGCGGTGCCAGCGGGACTTCGTCCTGCAAAGAAGGAAAAACGTATCGTGCATAAAGACATGTATGATGCTATGAAGTCTGGTAGATATTGAGATTGTATCCCATCAGTCTAGCCTCTCTTTTTTTCTTTCTTTTCTTTTTTTCTTCTCTCTCGCCTTTTATTCGTTATTTTTGTTGATATGAGTGTTTTTATTTATTTTATCATGAAGCGTCCGTAAAGAGTTATCGAGGAGATATTACCCCGTATTTCTTTTTCTTTTAAAGGGGCATCTATATATCTCTCTATATATCTATATCTATCTATATATATATATATATATATATATATATAACTATATATTATTAAAACAATTAAAGACAGAGAAAGGAAAGAAGGATAGGTGTAAAAAAAAAAAAAAAGTAATAAGCGTATGAAAAAGGGAGAAGTGCGAGGAATAAATTATTGTGTTTTGTTGTTGTAGTAGTAGTGGTGGTTGTTTGTTGTTTTTGTTTAAAGAAAAACAAAATGATAATAATCTGGCGAGATAAATTTACAAAAAAAAAAAAGATATAATGAAGGGTTTGAGGAAAAAGGAAAGGAAAAAGTAAAAAAAAAAAAGTGGAGCAAACATTAACGAGCAGAAGAAGGAGAGTGCACATTGCCCTTAGTTTGCTGGTGTTTTCAGTCGTCTTTTAAGGCGATCGTTGTAAATACTTTTTTTCTAACTATTCTTATAATTCTTATATCTTCTACCACATATTTATAACTATTCCTTTTTAAGTTTAATATGATGAGGAAAGTTACTACTTGCTGAGAGATAGTATTAGAGAGAGAGAGAGAAAGACCTCTTACACAAAGCCTTTGCCTACACAGCTATCATTTCTTTTTCTTCCCCTCTCTCTGTTTTTCTTTCTACTCTAATCATTCTCTTCATGGTGTATACCCTTTCATCACACACATATACACATGAAAAAAAAAAAACTAGAATTTTACAAGAAAAGAGGCGAATACGAACAAAAAAAAAAAAAAAAAAAAAAAAAACAGAAAAGAAAAAAGAGAAAAGAGGTAGCGAAAGAACTGTTATCATCACTGTGAGTTAATATGTATAATCCTCGATCCCACACACGAAGTCCTATCGCCGCAGGAAGACCATTATCTCAACAACAACAACAACAACTGCCAGCAGATACGGCTACTCCGCCTGTACAGGAGAACTACAGAACCCCAAGAGCCTCTCAACGCAGCAGTTACACATTCCCGCAGACCACACCAGCAGTTTTGGCTAATGGTGAGAACTCAGCAGTACCTTCACAATCCACACCACGTAGATCTTATCAAGACTCACCACGAGTTAAAGGACTTTCAACCGCATCACCTCATCGAAGTTATGCCTCACCACTGCGGTGTAAATATTGTTATCTTTCTTTGCAACCAGGCACAGTCGCTGAACATGATGCGCAGTGTTCATTAAAACCACTTTACTGTCAACATGTGAATCCACGAACAGGAGTGCCTTGTGGTTATATGTGCCGTGGAAGAGAAATGCTTGAGAGACACGAACTTCACTGTGCAGCACTACGGCGAAGTCGGAGTATTGGCTCCTCAGGACGTCAAACACCTTATAAAGGAAGAAGTAATGATGTCTCTCAACGACAAACACCTCTCCTTCCGGATTCTCTGGTTTGTCATAAGTGTAATATGACCTTTTCTCGTTCTGAAGATTTGGCAAGACATCGATATATGTGTACAGAAGAAGAAGTTTTATGTCCTCTCTTGTGTGGAAAAACACTTCGTCGACGGGAAGTTGTGGAACATATAAAGACAGAAGCATTACAACATCCACCTATGAATATGCCAAGCTCAACCGAATACGGTGGAGATGATCCACGAGTTGTTTTGGCTGTTCTTATGAACTTATTATTGGAAAAGACAGGTTCAGATACAAGGAAAATTTTACCATCTCATCCTGTTAATAATGATACACCGATGCGTAATAATACCCCAAGGGCATATCCACATTTAACAATGGCTGGAAATTACACACCAAGTGTTTCCCAAAGATCTTCTATGTACTCTATTTTGGCTGTATCTAATAATCAAATGACACCTCCAAACTCTGTTTATGCTCGTCAACGTCGTTCTTCATCTGAGAGTCCTGGTTCAATAATGTTAGAACCAGGAATTTCGATGCCCCAAGCGCGCAAGGTTCTTCCTCAACCGACTGTACAAAAAGAAAATGGAATTCCTTCTGCACATAAGATAACAAGACAAAAAGATGAGTTTAAAGTGTGGGTTCGACCTGCTAGAGGCTCAACTTCAGTACAATCTGAGCATTCAGAGTTTATTCTTCCTTCAACAATAGCAAGTACATCCGTATCTCCCATAAGTAAAAAAAATGAAGAGAATGAAGAAGGATCTATTAATAAACAAGAGTTTGATAATCTTCTTCACTGTATGGAAGTCCAAGAGAACATTGTTAATAAACTTAATGAAAAATATCACTCGAAGGAAATACAAAAGTTGAACGAAAGAGATCATCAGAAGGTTTCAGATGAGGTACAGAGTGCTGTGGATAAAGTTGATGATAAAAACAAGGATATTCATCTTCGTGTGATGCGCTTTATTGATAATGTTGGGATTGCCCCAGGGCACGTCATGCAAGTACTGGGAAAATGGAGGGCTCTTGACCGCCATTGGTATGATGTGAAGTTTTCCCTATATGATCAAGTGGTGACCAATCAGGTATAGAAATTTCTCTTTACCTTTCTTATATGTGTTCGTCCTTTCTTCTTTTCCCTTTTTTTTGTTTATTTTATTTTATTTTTTTTTCCCTATATTCTTGACCGACCTCATTGTACTTTTTTTTTTTTTTTTTCTTGTGGGTTGGCGTTTGGGGCTGGACAGACCCTTCTCATGTCTATACTTTTTTTTCTTCTTATCAATAACGTCTGACGAATGTTTTTTTTTTCTTTTTTTTTAATTTATTATGTTTTTCCCCTTAAGACGAGCAGTTGACTTTTCTAGGATATATTTTTTCACCCGCGTTCGTTTTCGGGATCTCATTTTAGTTATTATTTTCTTTTTCTTCTTTTTCTTCTTCTTCCCTTTTTCTCAACATTTTTGCTGATGCTATCCACTCTCTAAAATCCTGTAACTCTACAAATAATATGATAGTCATCAATTAACGAGAGGGAAATATATTTAGTAGGGAGTCAGTAGGAAGAAAAGAAAGAATGAAAGAAAGAAAAGAGAGAAAGAAATGAATGGATGGGGGAGGTCAGTCAGCAGCGGGTGAACACAACTGCAGCTTACGATGCTGCGTACACCACATTTTATTGTAGATTTTTTTTTTTTATATGTTATAATAACGAAAAGAAGAGAAAATAAACTTGAAAGTTTTTTTTTTTGTTTTTTAAAAGTGAGGGGCGACGTAAGGAAATAAACGAAAACGGAATGGAGTACTAATGTGAATATTTATAAATAATAATGTCAACTAACAGTGCGAGACTTGGTATTCTTCCATTTTCCTCATTCCATTGCCTTAAATGAGAGTTACAAATATATTGAGTACCCTTTTTTTTATATTTATAAAGGGATTAAAAAAAGGAAAAGAAAAAAAAGGGGGAGGGAGGAGGAGATCTAAAGAATGAATTGTTTGATAAAGAAAATGTCGGTTAGAATGTAATTCTTAATATTCCCTTGGGTCTTCTTCTCTTTGAGCGTACCACAAGTGGGTAATAATTGTCATTTTTTTCTTTTCTTCTTTTGATTCTTTTGATTCTTTTATTATTATTATTATTTTGCGTGCGTTCTGAGGAGTCTTAGTTCATCTCTTCTTGACTTAAGGTTTTGTTTCTTTTTTTTTTTTTTTTGGATTCTCCTTTTTTCTTTATCCTTTTTGATTGTTATTATTATTGTTATTTTTATTATTATATATATTTTTTTATTCATTCTTTTTTTTTTCTTTTTTATTATTTTCCTACAGCGTGACCTCGAGAGGTTAGTCATAAAAGAAAAAAGGAAAAGGAAAAAAGAGAAAAAAACAAAGAAACAAAGAAACGAAATTCATCTCGGTGGAATCGCAATGCGACGTGTACTCATTAGACGACTCTTCACACCAGAAATAACGATCGCAACAACAAAAACAAAAACAATATTGATAGGCGGTATTACAGGCAGTAAAACTCCCTTGTTTTGCCGTGGAAGTAGTGCTCTCTGTACTGTAGTAAGAGGGGCTGCAACTTCTGCAAATACTTTGAAAAATGCAAAGCAAACAAAGCAGAGTCGAAGAAAGAAAGTTGAAGAAAAAGAGAATGACACTGATAATACTCTAGAAGGAAAAGAAAGAACTCTTGCTAAGGGTAAGAGAACAAAGCGTATCCAACGTGCTCCTCAAGAAGAAGAAGAAAAGGAAGAAGACTCTATAGGTGTATTTACAGATGAGTCTGGAAATTATATAGATGAAGGTGCAGGTATATGGAGGGAAGAAGAACAAAATGAGAAGATGGTTTCAAATATGTTAGATGCTGATGATGAAGATACACAAGTTGAACGTCGTCATCGTCGTCGGTCATCTCTTAAAGAGAGTGGTGAATTAGAAGAAGAAGAAGGAGACGGAGAAAGTGATGATCGAGTTTCAGGTCAATCATCAAATAGTGAAGGTATGATATCATTACAGGAAGAAGAAAGTCGTCTTTTAATAGACCGTTTCCCAGATTTAGCAATAGAATACGATATGGAGGCTAATAAAGAACCGGTGGATGAAGTTTTAGTGGATAGTGCTTCTGTGGTATGGTGGAAATGTGTAGAATGTGATTTTAGGTGGAAAAGTGGTATCTTTGTACGTACTTGTTTACGTACAAAATGTCAACAATGTGAGAAGCGACGTAATCCATGTTTGGGAAGTCGACTTGTTCAACTCTGGGATCACTCACTGAATGACCCTTGTATAGATCCTAAAACCGTAACTACAAGTAGTAACAAATCAGCCTATTGGCGTTGTCCAACCTGTAGTACTAGTTTTCAGGCTCGTATTAAAGATATGGTAGCTGAGAAGGCAAAGTGTCCATCATGTTCACTCTTAAATCTTCATGCTGACTTTAGTAAAGATGAAAATGGATTATTACAAGAATGGCATCCATTAAAAAATGGAGACTTAAAACCAAGTCAAGTTAAACCAACAGATCAGACAAAGTTGTGGTGGTTGTGTATGGCTTGTGGACATGAATGGGAAGCAACTCTTGCTGTTCGACTTAACAAGTCTAGACGTGGAAAAGGAAGAGAGTGCCCTGTATGCCATGGGAAAGGGAAAGAATAATGATCCTTTCTAAAAATTATTCACAGAAACAGAGAATATTTTCTTTTTTTTTGTTGTTGTTGTTACTGTTGTCGTTGTTTGGTTTGTTCTCTTTTTTTATTTATTTACTCTTTTATGCATCCAATTATGGATGAAATAAATGCTTGTAGCATAAAGATTATTAATAGAATGACGGGGGAGGTGTGTTATCGTACCTTAACTTCCTCTTGAGGGTAATTGTTATCATTGACTTCTTATCATTCTATCCTGTTATTTTTATTCTACTATTTCCACCACCTTTTCCTTTTTTTTTTTCTTCTTCTTCTTCTTTTTCCGTGTGGTATGTTACTATTTCTTTATTTTACGAATGAAAGGAAAAAAGAGAAAATAAGAAAAAGAAAGAACGAAAGAAAGGAACAGTGAGAGAGAGAGAGAGAGAGAGAGGACGCTATTACAGGAAGGAAAAAAAAAAAGAAAAAAAAAAATAATCTCTGAGAATGAATCCATACAAGGAATCTATGCTCCGGCTGGTTGCCTACGCCGGACTGCCGCAGTACGGCACCTCAGAGAGAATTGAACTCCCACCACCAAACACACCAGAGGCCGTCTATTTTCATTCCACAGAAACACCAGAGTGGAAAGCACATATCGCATCACTTCCTTTTGAAGAACGTTATCGGGCGTCTGTGCGTCGACGTCTCTCAACACGTATGTGGGCATCTGCACAGAGTAATTTATGTTTATGGTGTTGGTTCCCAAAAGATATGTGTTTTTGCTCAAAAATGGAAGAGTATCGTGAACAGATTTCTTCCCAACAGCGAACTTCTGAAGTGGATGTGACGATGGTCTTGCACGTGGGAGAAGTTATGCGGGGAACTAATTCTGGACATATTGCCGCGTTTATTTTAGGCGCACCCATTCGTGTTTGGGGAGTAAAAGAAGATGATCTTTACTTACAGACTTTGGCAGATACTTCTGCTGATCCTGCTACTACTACTGATGTTATTAATTTTGATGTTAATATTAATAATAATAATAATGATGAGGATAATATTCATGAAGAGGATAATGATTATAATAACCGTCCTTTTACCATCTCACTTTACCCAGAACCTGGTGCTCTCTTCCTGGAGGACTTTGTCCGTGATCTTCCACGCAGGAAAAAGGTTCACTTACTTCTCTCAGATGGAACATGGGGACAAGCAACTTCTTTAAATCGACACATTCCTCGTAGTATTCCCCGTGTGGCTTTATCCGTTGATGGTACATATACTTCACTTTTTAAGGCTCTTAGAAAAAGAACTAGAGAAACAGGTGTATCAACACTTGAGGCTACCGCTATGGCAGTTGAACAGTGTTTGAGAGGTTTAGATGATAGTAATGATGAGATAGCAACAAGAACTATTAGTGTTTTAACTTCCGTAATGAAAGATTTTGTAGATTTGAGATGTTTACTGAAATATCAAGATGTATGTTTTACTGATTGTGTGGAAGATGTTGCTGAACTTGTAGAGCGACGTGATGCTGGTCGCCGTGTGGCTTCATTAGGCCGTTTACGAGAATTACACAAACGAGTGGAAAATGATAAGGAGGTGCGACATTTATTACTTCCTCCGGTGTTAAATTACTGTTATGCCTGCGATACTCCAGTGTTGTGGCATCGTATGGTTGAACATGTTTTAGGCAAAAAACATCAGAAGAGTTTGAAGGAAAACCCTCTTTTTATCCCAAGCGAAGGATCACGGTTTTGTTCCTGCCTTAGATGGTAAATCCAATCATCTCAGGTGATTGTGAAGATAAATGGAGTTTTGGGAGTGTGTGGGTTGGGTGGAGGGACAATCCTCCATTTCTGCTTTGTATATAGGGTTTTAACGGAGTAAGTATTGGAGTTATTGTTTTAAGGTGCAGTCTTTTCTCTTTTTTTTCTTTTTATGTTTTATTTTGCTTTCTTTTTTTTTTTTTTTTCTTTTGATCTTTTGTTATTACTATTATTATTTTTTTTTTTCTTTGTTTCGATTAAAAGGAAGAAAACCAAATAGACATGTTATGGTTTTTTTGTTTTTTTTCATTCTATTTTTCTTTTTTTTTCTTTCGTTTTGTGTATGTGTGTGTATACAGTATAATTCTCTCTTGATATGGTTTCTTACTTCAGCCCTGTTAAACGAGCTTTGATTTTGTCCTTTCTTTTTTTTTCCTTTTTTTTTTTTTTACAATCTCTTTATTATTAATTATTATTTTTATTTATTCTTATGCAATTCACTATCCTCACAGAGTTAACTGCACTGTCCTCGACAACAACAAAAAGGGAGGGTGAGGTGGAAGGTTGTGGTAATGATAAACAAATCACCACAGTCACAAGATCGCAGTTGGTTCTTCCTAGTTGATACCCCGGGATATGTACGCAGTCTACTTCCTATTACAACAACAACGAGAATAACAGAGAATGATGATAGAGAGAATGGCGATGTTAACGAATGGTCTTCCACCTTATCATCATCATTATCATTATCATTATCATCTATGCCTGTTGTATTAGTGGCGGATAAAAAAACAGGTGATTTAAGAACATTTAACTGTAAACTGCAATATCCATGCAGTGAGTCCCTGCGGCCGCCTGCAGATGTTAATACACCAGCCTTCTCTTCTGCAGCTCTTCAACAAACTCCTACAGTGAATATGGCCCAATCCTTTACTCTTGTGGGAAATGAAGAAGTTTGGGTGGGTTGGTCCTCTGGGCATATTGGTGTATATCGAATGCATATGATTGAAAAAGTATCCACATCATTATCATCATCATCATCATCATCAATACAAGCAATGGGTGGAAAGAGTTCACGTACACAAAAATCAAGATCCCATCAAATACATTGGAGAGCCATCTGTTATCTTTACAAACATCGAGCAGCCGTACACTTATTGGCTACTGGACCAGGGAAATGGGTATTTAGTGCGAGTCATGATCACCGGGTATTACAATGGCATGCCGAAACACATGAAGTTATTCGAGATATAACCAATATCTGCAGTATACAGGATGAATATAGATCTTCACCAATACGTATGATGACGGTAGCGATGGGGTGTTCTAGCACAATAAGCTTTACACATCCACAAGGTCATTTTCTATTTTTTTTCTCAACAGAACGAAGAATCCTTTATGGTGTTTCATTAGGTGGACCAGGGAGAAGTGAGAAACTGCTAGCAGACGCAGATGTACCCCTGCAGCGTATTACTTCCGCACGTCCAACAGTAACTTCTTCTGCTGTTCTTGTTGGCAGCGGTGATGATGATGCGGCGACTGTTTTGTGCCTTGGCGATGAAGAGGGATCTATCACCTTCACACCTCTCACCGTTGTACATAATGGTCATTCCAACAGAGAAGATATATCTTCGTATTCCACTTCCTTCTCTACAAGGACAGGTAGAAATAGGAATACGTGTATAGATTCCACACTCTCGGATGGGGAGTATCTGCGTAGAGTGGCAGATGCCGTTCTCACAGCCGATACATTATATGTGAATAAAGGACGTATTACCGCATTATCAATGCTTTCAGTAGTTGTAGATAAAACAACAGGTATAATGTCTTATTGTCTCGCTGCGGCTTCCTTTAAAAATGCTATTACACTACTTCGAGTGGGAGTATCTCCTATAATAGCAGGAGGTCATCTTTCCGGGTGTTCATTACTGAGTGTTCTTCCAACTGTGAGTCCCATCACAAGTCTCGCCCCGTTATTTCCACCAGTGCGGCAAAATAATGTCGCCACGGCATTAATGTCTTTTGCAGATGGAACGGCAGCGGTGTTGTTTCACTTTCTCAGTACATCTACACAGCGAATGGATGATCACCAGACAATATCAAAGAAAGAAGAAGAAGAAGAAAAGGAAGAAATAGAAACGGCAGCAGCAGCAGCAGGGTTGTCAATAGATCAAAGTCCTCATACAACAACGATGGGGATGAATACGCAGAGAAGAGAAAATAATAATAATAATAATAATAATAATAATAATAATACTGTGGATAATAGTGTTATTGCATTGCAAGAACGACTTCGTACTGCACTGCAATGTGTTTCCCATGCGAGTACTGTAGCGGAGGAGGCGGAACAGACACTAAAGATGCAGCAGCAGGAGTTACAAGAACTACGAACCACAAAGGAAATGTTAACAAAACAAGTCATACAACTCGCTGAGGCGCTGAATAAAAAGAGTGTAGAAGTTGTTGCACTCAAACAGCAAAAAGATGATCATCACAAGAAGGAAGAAAGTATAATAGAAGTGAAGAAGAATAAGATAAAAGTACAGGAATTAGAAGAACGCAGTCGTATCTTATCGCAACAACTTGAAAAATGCAAAATGGAAAAAGAAGAAGAATCTAAACGATTTAGAGAGGCAGTACTGGAACGAGATCATATTCAAACTGTATTACTGGAATCAGAGTCTCGCTATCAATCAGAGTTGGATGCATTACTTCGTGAAAATCGATTTCTCGCTGAGACTCTTGGGCAACTCGGGTATGAGATGCGGAATGAAAGCAATGGACAAGGCACTCATGTATACAGTAGAGAAGGAGAAGGTACAGTAATAGTTTCTAAAAGGAATGAGTCATCACTGCGTGAATTGCTGGAGAATGCATTAACTACACCAACAGAATCCACTGAAGAGGTTAATATCTCCTTGCAAGGAACTCTCTTACAAAGATTATAAGGTATTATTATTATTATTATTATTATTTATTATTTATTATTTTTTTTTTTTGGCTTCTTTGGTATTTCGTGTTATCGTACGTGTGTCTCAAACTAACGCACACAACCACATTATTATTATTATTATTATTATTATTATTATTATTATTATTATTATTATTATTTTTATTTTTTTTTTTTACTCCTTTCTTCTAGTTGCTCTCTTGTTTTATTGTCCTGATTTTGCATCTCTTGTTTTGCAAGTAGTTGCTGCTGAAATAATACTGTATTTCCACTATTGGAGTAGGTATATATATATATATATATATATATATATATATATATATAT